TAAATCAAGTACTTGATTCCAATAGCATTAGAATCTGGGAATATTGTAAAATACTACTTGTAAATAAAGAACTTAGACTGTTTAAAATGGTAATGACTCTTTTTGTTTGCTTGTTAATCCTCACTGAGGATATTTTTTCCATTGATTTTTTTTTTTAGAGAAAGTGGAAGGGAGGGAGAAAGGGGGAGAGAGACAGTGGGGGAAACATCTATGTGAGACACATCATTTGATTGCCCCCAACTGGGGCTAGGGATCAAACCTGCAACCCAGGTACATGCCCTTGACCAGGAATTGAACCCGTGACCCTTTGGTTCACAGGCCAAGGCTCTAACCACTGAGCAGCACCGGCCAGAGCACAACTCATTTTCCATCTGGTTTAATCACACTACCAACCTAAGTTTAATGGAACTGGTAGATGTCAGCATTAGGGACAATTAGCTCCTAACATCTGAACCACGCTCTAATGGACCAAGTGCACGACCTTTTATGTGTCCAAATAGAAAACATTAACATAAAGTCCCTAGTAGAATTGAATAACTAGAACTGGGGGAGATACTGTTGGAGAGAAAAGCAATTATTGCTCAGGATGTTAAAATTTGGTAAAGAACTATCTGCATTGGTTGTCTATATCTGTTAAAACTCATAGCTAGGAATAGCTTTTCCATCACAAGTCCTGGATACCTGGGGTTACTGCAAAATCAAGCTCATGAAATAGGAAAAAAGGAAGTTACAAGCTTCTTGACAGCATTTTCATTTCACTAATACAATTCAATATATAAGTTAGTTTACCAAAGTTCTGTCGTCATCACTTCATTTGACCCTCAGGAACACCTCAAAACACAGGCAAGAAGCTCTCTTATCCCCTGAGCCCAGGGAGGTCAAGTGGATGGTTAGCTAGTAAGTGGCGGAGTCAGGACAGCACAGGCGTCCTGGGACTCTGCCTCTAACAGCGCAGTCTCACCGCACTCTGACCAGATGGGGCTTGGTTTTTAAAATTGTTTTTTCCTGCAAGAGAAAAGTCCTCCTTCTCACGTCAAACCAGCAGGACATTTTGCCTATGCATGTCTGGTCACCTTGTAGATTTATACAAAATAAATAACAAATGAGACCTGAATGTGCCCAGACATGTGGCACAGGTAGTAAGTGTTCCAGAAAGTCAGGAGAGGGAGAAAGAGACAAGTAACTGTGACGGTTTTTCTTCTTCTTAAACATTTGCTGTAGATAGTCACATTCTTCAGGGTTGCAATGCATTTCTTTACACAGTAAGTCAGTGAATATCTCTAGAGCTTTATTGAGTCTTAGAAGATTTTATTTTATTTATTTATTTATGTATTTAAGACTCAAAACAAATTTTATTTAATTTTTTCCTTTATATTGAATCTTCNCTTAATGAACGTTAAAAGGTTACATTCTATTTTTCTCCTTTACTGAATGTACTAGGGTGATGCTGGTTAACAAAATTATACAGTTTTCAGGTACACAATTTCACAACTTATCATCTGCACACTGTACTGTGTGTTCATCACCCCAAGTCAAGTCTCATATATCACCATTTATCCCTCCATACCCTCCTCCACCTCCCTCCCCCCCCCAATCACCACACTGTTGTCTGTGTCCGTGAGTTTTTAAAAATATGGCCCTGTTGATAAGCTCCAGTGATGAATGAGGAATGAACCACGGCTGTCGACAGGGTTTAAAACATAATTAAATAAGTTAAACTAGGGAAATGATATACAAGGTGGCGCAAAAGTAGATTTACAGTTGTGAGTAGGCAAAACAGAGTTTATTCTTGTATCATTATTTATTAATTATTGTATTATTTTTCCATACGAACAACTGTAAATTTACTTTGGCCCCATCCTGTAGCACTAAGAGGAAGAGTGGTAACTTGGATTTATTAACATTGATTTTTAAAAATTGGGTTTTGGGGTGGGAGTTTTATTAGTATTATTGACAGTCTTAGTAGCAGTTTTCTATTTAATAGATAAAGAGATAAAACATAGAGATGAGCTGAATAAACTGAATGAAAGAATACTTTCAGAACAATGCCTTAATTGTGAGAACAAAAGATATATACTCACACACACACAGAAAATGACAGCCGTCTAAATGTCTGTACCTAGCTGTATGGTTGGTCATTTGTTAGTTCAGGGAGAATACTATATGAAACATGCTGCTTAATTATATGCATGTATATGTAACAACATTAATTAAGGTTTTGTCACCTGTTGAGCAATGCTGAATTGGTAAAATTCTATACTTGAAAATTTTGATGACACTTTTCTCATAGCCAATAACCTGGATATCCGATCTCTACCTGCTAGGTAGATAGTTCCTGGCTACTTTTTCTCTCGCTCCCTCTTTTTCATTCCCTACATACACACAGACTCGTGTGTCACACTAGCATTACGAAACTCAGTTTAATCGACGCTTCAGTGTTCCTCCGTGCAAAGCACTGTGCTAGCACGCCGAGGAAAAGCAGAGCACAGGTGAAGCACACACAATTCATGCCCCTCCTTCTGCCTTCTGAGTCTGCCTTTGAAAGTGGGTTTGAATCTTAGCTCTGACATGTTCCCACTCCATTTTCTTGGATAATTTCCTCATTTCCCTGTATCTCAGGTTTTTTGTTTTTAATCTATGAACTGGAAATCATAATAATATCTAACTTTACAGGGTTGTTCAGAGATTCAATGAATAATATGGGTAAAATATTTTGCACAGTGTAAGCTACAATTGTCATTATAATGATATTCTTTCAAAGATTTTATATTCGAAAAGAGAACGTAGGCTTAAGCATAGCTAGTCTAACAGAAACAATTAGTGACATAACAAAGGCAACCCATAAACTTAGCCTTGGGAATAAAGGAATAAACCAAGCAGAACTGATCATTTTTCCAGGTCCTATAAATACTATCCCCTTTCCCCACTAAATAAATAATGATGTCTTCAGGACATCACTTAGATGCAACGCAGAATTATACATGGGAAAGTGGTCTTTAAATTCAGCAAGTTGGCCAGCTCAGCAGAGGGAATTCAAGAACAGAATGAGAAAGTGGAATGAACAGCGTTTTAAAAGGTGTCCTCTACTTCTGACATTCTATTATTCCATGGTCGAGATACTTGATGGAATTTCCAGAGATATACAAAAAGACAATTCAGAAAAACAGCATTTTCAAATGGTAGTTCCCTCCCTCTCTTTTTTCCTGATTTTTCTCAATTACCTTTTGAAAAACCGGCCTTGGAACAGAATTAACATTCACCTCTTGAAGAAAGAGGAGTTATTTTGAGTAAGTTGGGTCACTGAGGGAGGAGTTCCATTAAATAAAGTCCTTGGAGAAGTGAATTATTTATTGATTCAGTTTGTGGTATAAAGTTGAGGCGTTCCTTTTGCCATTACATATTATAAGGAAATTAAAGGGAAAAGGTTATGAAATGCATGCCTGAGAAGTATGGGGCTAAAGAGGGCTAAGTATTGTATATTAATTTTGGTGGAGGTGGCAGGATGAGAAGGGTGTGAGAAAATAATCCTGATGTTTGAAATGTACTCAAATTAATTTTTAAAAATATTGGCTAATGACAACTAAATCTGTTACTTTTTTCCTAAGGCAGCTAACTTGCATAAGAGGCTCCTTTTCCGTGTTTTGCTTTCTTATTAGTTCATCATTCTTTCATTCATCAAAAATTTATTACTGATTGCATACCAGCTGTGACAAAGACAGACATGATCCCAACCTTGACGAAGGCTGAATTTTAGTCACGAGAATGGCCAGAGATAAAATAAGAGAAGAAAAAAGAGGCTCCTGGACAACCCAGAGTGAAAATCCATTCACTGAATGATTAAAACTGGCTGTACAGTCTAGTAATCTAAGCTTCCCCAGTAAACCTTTCCATAACAACGTGGGCATATTCAGCCTATTTAAGTATTAAAACAATAGCATTTGTTAAAAATATAATGCTTTCAAAATAAATATAGCTAAACTAAAGGGGAGAAATTTGAGAATATTATCCTCTTGGGGAAAAAAAAGATTGATGTAGTGTAATTTGGTTGTGATGGAACATTCTTTCCACCTCCCGTAGCAGATCGTGTGGTGCATCAACAATTTCAAATACTCCCCATATTGGACACTGACTTTAGGGTTTATTTTTTAAAAAGTATGTTTAAAAGAGGTCATTGTCTAGACAATTCCTTTAATCAGAAGTTAGAGGATTTACTCAATGAATGGTGCCAAACTTTCTTCATGAAGACTACCATGGTACTTCCCTTCCTTAGTCCCCACCACTCAAAAGGGTAAGAGCATCAAACGAATTTTTAAATGCAGATTTTTTGGTTTCTACAGTTCTTTTTCATCTTCTGGAAATTGATTACAAGACTTAATCAAGATTCCTCTGTGTATCATTAACCAATTTAGCTTCCTCGTTTTTAATTTTATTTTATTTTTCACAGTGAGTTTGGGAGAGCCCGGTTTTCAGTCTGCTGTGGATTTCATATTTTTCTGCTCAAGCCTTGAGGGAAGCTAAATTTAAAAGTAGGAAAACAGTAATTAAAAGTGATCAGGACAAAAAGCTTTGGTGCTATGACTTGTGGACTCCCTGGCCCAAGCCGAACCAAGCAGCAGTTTTTGGTTTTGATTATAGCTTTACTTACTATTTTAATAAACATGAACCAGTATTCAAGCTTTTAATATCCTGCTGCTTAACTATTTCCAAAGAGCCATCCAGCTCCTTTAAACAGCTTTTGTTTTAAAATTTTAATTTGTTTGGCCCGGTCTCACCTTAGAATGCCGTAGCCTCATGGTAAACTCTTTTATAAGTTGATTTCCAGAATCCCAAGCAATTCTTTTATTTCCTCCCCCCAGCTAAGTGCTTCCTCATGTGCCAGAACTGTTGGTGCTGACAGCCTTTCTGCCGTGTTTTATCTGGTTCCCACAGCAAGCATGAGAGACAAACACAAGAATGCGTCCAGCGCGGCCTGGGCGCATCGGTCCGGCCGCGGTACTTACAGCTCCTCTAGGAAGCGGAGGCCGTGCAGGGGGCTCGGGGGCAGCTGACTGATGTTGTTCATACTGAGGTCCCTGGAGAGGAAAACAGACAGCGTGTGAGGAGCAGCGGATGCCACCGCAAGCAAATCCAGCTGTTCGATTCACACATCTTCGAGCCGCAGAGCCCAACGAACTCATTCTTTCGCTTGACAGATGAATGGCTATTCTGCATCTTAAACATATTCCTATTCTCCCACCCCACCCCCACCGCCATGGACTATCAAGTTAGAGACCCTAGGAGGAGCTTATATGGATTCGAACCGATTTAGGCCATCCGCGGGCATGGTTGCAATTCTTCATGTTTAAAACTACGTGACTAGGACAGCAAGTAAAGACATAACTCAGTGCTAGACATAACTCAACTTCGAGTCTTGGTTTGCATTTTGTGACAAAGAGAAATGTCTTCACCGTGCAACCCTGGAAGTCCGGTTTCTCTGGGACTATAAGCACCTTGTAAAAACAAATGTTTTGATTCAAAGAAACTTAAAAAAACAAAACAAAACCAAACAAGACAAAAAGCCTATTCCCTCCTTCTAACATGTTCCTTTTACAGGTTCTCAGATTGCATTAAATAAGTGAAATGAACCATAAAACAAGGGTGTAATGTGATCCTGTTCTGTAGCACACTTCCTGCTGGGCCTGCACAGTAGTTCCTGGCACAGGAAACAACAAGCCACTCTGGGCAGAACTCAATCAATTTTTGTTTTAAGCAAATCTCCATGTAATTAGATTTTATTCTGTTTTTACTTTTCTGTGTGTGTGTGTGTGGATGTGGATGTGTGTGTTTTACTGTGTCCCACATAATCCCACAGCATCACTGGTATATGCCATCCATATCTCAGCTCCCCAATGTCTGACTGCTGTACAGATTCTAATCAAGACCAACTAAGACCGTATATAACAGTCAGCTGAAGGTTGACTTTAAAAAAGACTTGTTGCTCAAACCCAAAGATTCAGAAGTGACACCATTATAATCTCAGACCAGGTCTACATACTTAAAATTTATCTTGCAATAACACAATGAGCTTCATATTTATTCTTTTTATATTGATTTAATTGGCATATAACATTGTATTAGGTGTACAACAATATTTGATATAGGTACATATTGTGAAATAATTACCACAATAAGTTTAGTTAGCATCATCACCACACATAGTTACAAAGCTTCCTTTTCTTGTGACGAGAACTTGTAAGATTTACTCTCATAGCAACTTTCAAAGACACAACACAGTATTGTTAACTATAGTCACCATGCTGTACATTACATTCGCAGGACTTATTTATCTTATGACTGGAAGTTTATATCTTTTGACCACCTTCACCCATTTTATCCATGAGCTTTTAAAAAAAATCTGGATTTTTCCTCATATTGAAGTGGCCACATCCATTGCACCTAACCGGCTGATTTCAGTATTGATAGCTTGATTCCTTTATCAAATATTAACTTTTAATCAGTGAGGCTAAAAATTGAGGAATTTCTGTCTTTAAAAAGTTACCACTGGAGGCATTTTAGATCTTGCTTCCCTGCAATTGTCCTCAGGTATGGCTCGAGTAAACTCTCATATAAAAAAAAAAAAAAGTCACTAGTATGGACAAGAAAGAGAAGATATTTTGCTAAATGTTTGGAGTGTGGTAAAAAAGCAGAATTATGAATTTTAATGTTGGTGAGCAATAATACAGCGGAGTTAAATGCTATATTCTCAAGCTAAAACTAAACAATGCCAAAAATACAGACTAAGAAATTTCTATTGTCCACATTAAAAAAAATCAGGATTTTTCCGTCATTGTCTAGATAAAAGAGCCAAATAACTGATTAGCATTTTCAATTTTTTGTGTGCAGATATTTCTCTGAAGTAGTAAAGTTGTTTAGTTCCCTGAACAGACATGGGTTAAATTAATCAATGAGGTTTCTGGATTCCTCACAGTGACTATGTAATCTCTGCAAAGACGTGATATTTCTCAGGGATATTAATTTACTTTTTAATCGATATCCCACTTACTTCCTAAAAAGGATCAAGGTGGTTTGCTTTTGGAGCGTGTTTATTGGTAACCTAGATGGAACCAGCCTCAACGTCAGGACAGCTGGCGCGGAGAGCACGGACCCTCCTCTCCTCTGAAATACTGTGCGATGTGCAAATAAGTCCGGGACAACCATTAATCTTGTCTATGTGCAGAAAGCTCGAAACAGAACAAGGAAATTTACACATTAAGGAGATCCTTAAGCACTCCGCAGTATTTATTCCCGATTTCAGTTACCTGGAAGTGAGGCTTATGTAAGCATTCACTCTCAGGGTTCCCACCGGAGCACCTCTGATGGGAGAGCAGCAGAAAGGGTGCAGGTGCTGTCAGGTAGAGTGCCTCGGGTTTGAATTCAGGCCTCTCCATTCACTAGCTGCACCATCTTGGGAAAATGAACCTCCCTGTGCAGGCCTCCTCATATTTAAACAAAGGTGTCTCTACATTAATCGTCTGAAACCCTATGATTAGCTGTTTCCAATCAGAAGAGAGTGACTTAATTTTCTGCTTAAAAAGAAGACTACTGCCCGGCTGGTGTGGCTCAGCGGTTGAGCAATGACTTAGGATCCAGGAGATCTCGGTATGATTCCCAGTCAGGGCACATGCCTGGGTTGTGGGCTCCGATCCCCTGTAGGGGGCGTGCAGGGGGCAGCCAATCGGTGACTTTGTCTCATCATTGATGTTTCTCTCTCTCTCTC